CCACACCCCCAGCCCCCTGAGGATGGCTTTGAACTCGTGATTCTTCTGTCTCAGCCTCCCAAGCTGCTGGGGTTACAGGTGCACACCACCACGCCTGGCTCCATTTTCTGATGAGGTCCTCTCCTTGTTGCCGCTGCCCCACTCTGGATACTTGTTCCTGGACCCTACTCTGCAGTTCACCCTTCTCTAGTCCGTCCTCCAGTTCTGCCCTGTCCTCTCCAGTCACAGTGACCTTAAGGTTCCAGAAGGGCCTGACGGAGCCTTGGGCCTCTGCATTTGCGCAGGCTGCTCCCTAAATGGAACCCGCCCTGCCTCCTCTGGCCAGGTCTCTCTCATCTGTGTTCCAGGCAGGCCAGCCRCTCTTTCTCCTTCTAACCAAGCAAGAGCACAGATGTTTAAGACACAGAACTTCGGGGTCACATGTGTAGCTCAGGGGTAGAGGGTATGTGTAGCATGTCAAGGTCCTACATTTGATCCTAAGAACCCTTTTTGTTGTTGTTGTTGTTTTGTTACTGGGAATCGAACCCAGGGGTACTTGACCACTGAACCACAACCCTAGCCTTTTTTCTTTTTTTTTAATTTTTATTTTGAGACAGGGTCTTGCTAAGTTGCTTAGGCTTTAGGGCCTAAGTTGCTAAGGCTGGCCTTGAACTTTCAATCCTCCTGCTTAAGCCTCCTGAGTAGCTGGGGTTAAGAGGTATGCCACCATGCCCATGATACCCAGTCCCTTAAAAACAAAAAACAGCTGGTGTGGTGGCATACACCAATAACCCCAGCTACTTGGGAGTCTGAGGAAGGAGGCTATCAAGTTCAAGGCCAGCTTAGACAACTTAGTGAGACCCTGTTTCAAAAAAATCAAATCAAGGCTGGGTATAATGGCACATGCCTGTAATCCCAGTAGCTCAGGAGCCGAGGCAGGAGGAGTGAAAGTTCAAAATCAGTCTCAGCAACTTAGTGAGGCCCTAAGCAACTTAGCAAGACCCAGTCACAGACTAAAAAATAAAAAGGGCTGGGGATGTGGCTCAGTGGTTAAGTGCCCCAGTTCAATCCCTGGTATTCTCCCTGAAAAATCAAACAAAAACCCCCACAAAACTTTATTCCCTCTGACTCCATTTATTCTGTCTCTGAGCTTCTAACCTCTCTGATGCACACATTTTAATTCAATGACTTCCTGGTAAACTCAAGTTCAGCTATTTAAAAAAAAAAAAAAATATATATATATATATATATATATATATATATATTATTTTATTTGTAGATGGACACAATATCTTTATTTTTATTTATTTTTATGTGGTGCCAGAGACTAAACCCAGGGCCTCACGCATGTGAGGCAAGCGCTCCACCACTGAGCTATAGCCACAGCCCATGTTCAGCTATTTTTGATTCTTGACAATTTCAACACTCTTGAAGTTTTTTTTTCCCCCCATTTTCTCCTCTTCCAGCCCTGGGGGTAATGTTCCCTGTTGGCGAGGCCTGAGCAAATGCCAGGGAAGCACAGCTGCCTCCGAGCTCCCTCTCTTCGGGTGCCATCTCTGGCGGGGCCTCCTGGTGAAGGCAGACACTCCACTGGGCCCGCCTGTGTAGTTCTTTGTAAGAAGCGTTCTCTCCTTCCACTGAGGGCTCTGCTCACGAGCTTTACTCTGTTCCATCGAGGGGTGATCTCTGTCCATCAAATCTACAGAGGTCACTCTACATTTTCCTCAGTCCCTACCACTGGCTACTCTGGGCATGCCAGGCCTCCCACAGCCCTTTTGCATTCTSCCGGGAACGCAGGCAGTCTGTCTGTCCTGTGGAGGCCTGGACTGCTCCCTGCAGGGTGAGGCTTAGATCCCACCCACCTGGGATGCCCAGAGAGGCTCCAGCTTCACCTGCCCTGCCACAGGTTAGCAGGCATCAACAGATGCTCTGGGAATGTTTGCTGAGAACAGTGGTCCCTGGGTCAGTTCCAGACTTTCCTGGCCTTCCCAGTGGGCCACAGCCATCTTCCTCCCGCCTCAGGCTCCTGTGGCTCGGAAAGGAGCCCTCCTCTTGCCTGTGGTGGGTGGGCAGACAGGCTCCCTAGAGGGGCATGACACACTCGGCCTTTTAGGCATTTACTTAAGACATTAGCTTGGCTTTGTGCATGCTGACAGGGTCTGGGCCTGGAGCCCAGCCTTGTGGAGACAACACCAACTTTCCCACAGCTGGGGGCTGGGGCAGAGAAGGGAGAGGGTGCCACCCAAGCTTTCCCAGCAGGGGGAGGGAGGGAAGGAGAAGGCTAGCCATTTTTTCCTTTGCTTCTCCACCGCCTGACAGCGCACCAAGGCCCACTGGGTGCCTCTCACAGGGTGCCCCCAGGTGGCCTTCCAGGGACTCACACCCATTCAGTGGATTGACAAGTTTTGGCTGGTTCCAGCAGAACTGCTAGATGGCATCATCACCGCCATTGAGACTCAAAGTGGGATGACTTGCCCAGCTTAAATAGCTCTTTTGGAATCTAGGTCTGTCCTGGTCCCTAGCCTGCTGTCTCCCTTCTACGTGCCCTTTGAGTCCACAGAGCCTCATCAAGAGTTGAGGGGACATGTAGGCTCCTCTTGCTCTRATGCATGTCAGCTGTGTTTCCCACTAAAGTGATGAACCTCTGCTTGACAACCTCAGGAAGTGGCATCCATGAGCACAACGACCTGCTCTGTTCCCTGGCGTTCTGAAAGATGAAGGGTAGTGATGGCCACTGACAGAGGCAGGACTCAGCTGGGAACACTGGCCCTGCCCCTGGGAGGTGAGAAGGCAGGGAAGGGGGAGCCCATCAGCCTGCTGGGTTTCAAGGTGACGCCTCTTGTCCTGCCTGAACCTGGGGGTGCTCCAGGCCCAGTTTCTAGGGACCTTACTCAGGTTCCAGGGGAGGGGTGATATGAGGCTTTGGGTGGACGACCTGGCTCAGGAGAGGGACACAGGCCAGTGGTTCTGGCACTGCCTCCCTTGCCCTAGCCAGTCCTACCATTCATACCCAATGAGCATGGCCTCTGGCCCCTTAATATGCAGAAAAGCAGAACACCTGGCTGGGGGCCTGGACAGGCAGTGGATGCCACTTACTATGACTAGGCACTATGCTATTTCATTTCATGTGCAGCTTCACTTGACCCTCATGACCCTGTAGGGAAGAAGAAACTTTGTTTACAGGCAAGGAAACACATACCCCAGGTTAAGTCTTAAATAGGGGAGGCAGGATTAAAACAAAGACCTCTAGGCCGGCCGTCTGGCCTGTGTTCCCAACCACCTGTGCTGTACTGCTTCAAGACCCTGGGTTCTGTGTCTACTCTTTGCTTAGGAGGCCAATGCAGATGCTGTCCTGGCCCCGGGGCCACCACTCCAAGCTCATCACACTCCTTGGGTCTCCCTGTAGAGCAGGACAGAGGCTCTACAGTATCAAGCCCTCAGGAGACAGTGGCTTATTAAACAGTTGTTCCAGGAAAGGGACGAAGGAACACAGCTCTCCTAGAGGACACAGAGCACCTTGCCAATGACTTTGCTTCTAACATCAACCTCCAATCCCAAATGCTTCCCAACACAGCACTTTTTCTTTTCTGTACCTAATAAAAAAACAGTTATGACAATTCTGTCCATTTTGTTTTATTTGTTAAATTGCTAAAAAGTCATTGGGGGAAACATTAACAAAAAATGAAATTGACAGATTTAAATATCCATGAAATCCATTTCATTCCTACACTGTTATGTGCCTAAAATGACTGTCTCAGGGGGAGCCACCTGGCAGCCCTGAGTCGTATGGGAAACATCACTCACAGCACCAGCTTCGCCAGGCACGATGGGTGCACTGACATGAACCCTGGTTGGCGGGAGGGGAGCAGAGCAGGGAGAAAGTACACCAGAGCCAACACTAAGGTCTGCTCACGTTCACGATGAACAGGGTGAAAGGGAGCCACACACTGGTGACATGCAGAACATGCCTTCTGCAGTTCCAGGGAGGCTGCCTGAGCATAGGCTTCCTGGCCCCCGGGCACGTTCAGATCCTCCCCACTGACTTGTGCGCTGGTGAGACCATAGATAATGCAAAGCAGAGCACATCACCATGCCAGGACCACCACAAGGACAAGGACGGAYAGACAAACCAACCAGGTACATCACTTTGAAAGGGAAGGAAACAAGCGAATCAGAAGAAAATCCAGAAAGACAAGGTGAAGGAAGGGGATGTCCCCTTGCTCTCCGTAGGCCAGTGGCTTTCTGTCCTCAAAGTCAAGCATCTCACATGGATTTCTTTCTTCCTCCTCTTCTTTAGAGTTACAACACAGTTCCCACAGTTCATAGTTTCAGCTCTTGCTATGCAACTCAAACATTAAAATCAAACCCACAGAGGGTAGGAGGAGAGTAAGCCCAGTATTGCCTTAAAAACAAAATTTAAACTTCTTTTGACACCTAATTGGTGCTCCCAAATATGGGGGCAGGGCAGGGTTGAAGAGTCCACCATCCAAGTGTGGAGGAAGGGTGGAAACTGGGACAACACAAAACGCTCTCCGCTGCACGATGTGGGATGAGAACAGGAAGCTCTGTTCAAGAAGGTAGAAGAGACTAAAATTCCTACACGAGGTCAATGTGGTGATGGGTGAAGACAGTTATCACCTGGGGCTCTCAAAGGCACACTTGCAGGAATGGAAGGGTTAAAGCTTCAAGTAGAAACAAGATGTATTTTAAATACTTAAATACTGTTAAATATTTGCTAGGTGCTCCTGAGGGTTTAAAAAAAGTATTTTGTCTCCTTTCTTTCAGTCAATTTTAAGACAAAATTGTTATCACCGTCGAAACGGAGTCGTGGTCAAATCTGATCTGAGGGCACTGTGGGCACACTCACCTCAGCTGAGACACCTGAAGTCTCACTGTGCGTGTGGCCTTGCCAGGGCTGAGGAGACCATCACCTTGACTGTGCTGAGTCGCCTTCCCACAGCAAAGGCCCTCAGTGCCCAGGAGCCACCGGGTGGGGATGAGGCAGATTTTTCTCTCAGGGCTGTAAACGGACAGTCTGGTTCCCAGCAGCGTGGGTAACACTGGGGTGCCATGGAGTTCAGAGCAACTGGGTTATTTTCTAAGAGGACCAGCATTTCCGCTGCCTGCTACTTGGGGGAAAGTAGAAGGAACCAACAGCTTACAGCTAGGTTAAGAAGGCCACAGGACAAAGGGAAAGATTACAAAGTGGAGATTCTGAATTTTCAGGCTTCCGAGTAGTTGATATCCAAGTAGGACTAAGTTTGGAGGCACGGTCCATGCACAAACACRATGTCATGACCAAGGTTCAGCAGCAGCAGCAGCAGCAATGCAGAAATTGCTGATCTTCTGGGCTGGCTTCGCTTTGTGAATCAAGACCCCACACGATTAGATGGTCTTGGCCAGGGAGGGACTGGCCACAGCTGCAGAGAAGGGGAGTTGGAAAGCCGAGTACGTGGCTTGGAGTAGTGGGATACCGCAGGAAGTAGGCACATGGTCGTTTCCTCAYCTGAGGGAGCATGTACAGCAGTTTCTGGAACACATACCTCTCCCTATGAAAGGGCCTTTGCTGGGCTTGGCACCAAGGGGCCTGTCCCACAAAGACCACGAAGGCAGAGCAAATGGCTAAGGGAAGGGTTCATCATGATGTAACCGGAGAAAACACTTATCAGACAGCTAAGCGCTGGCTAAGAGCCAGGACTCAGGGCCAGCTGCAGCCCTGGCCTGTGCTTGGGAAATGCTAACAAGAAAACAAGCGTGGGGGTGAGAAACATGATGTTTTAAAATTTAAGCCCTAAGGACAAAATTAAAGTCCTCTATCCACTGAGGATAAATCGCCAAAAATCCATATTTTAATGGTGTCACTTGAAATAAACTTACTTTGACATCTCATGTCCAGCCTTGGTTTAGACTAGTGACCTGCAACTTTCTGTTTTAACCAAAAAAATGTGCTACTAGGCTGCACCTTATCACAGAAATGAAGCAAAGTCTAAGTCCAAGCCCTGCTTGGGTGACGCATGAATAAGAGGATGGATCTACTCCCCAGGCCAGCCATGTGTCACAAAAGTCAAGAACATGACGCTCAACCCAGTCGCCAGGCAGATGACATGTCACAGGGGGAAAAAAACATTTCTGGAAGGAACTGTTGTGAGGATTCCCTTCCAGGATCAAATTTCACATTCCACAAACATGGACAGGTGTGCCCAATGTGCTTTGGAAGTAAGAGAAGCCCACAGGGGAAACCCAGTGTCTTGAGGGTTTAAGGATTCTTCATGACACTGGCCTCCTAGTAACACCAGGGAAAGTGTTCTGATTTCTCCAGGCACCCGAGCTTTGTAAAAGAAAAGACAGTGAGAAAGGTTACAGAGCTTTAAAAAATCCATATGCAAACAAACAAAATGGGGGAGTTTGGGAATATAGCAGCCTATAAACAGGGTAAGGCAGCAGGGAGGACTGATTCTAAAGAAGGAAAAGGAGAACAAACATGGTTTTTGGCAACTTGCAACCAAATACGATTGTCAGAAAATTCCACAATCAGACACCACGTTTTCTGAGACATGCAGGGAGCACTCAAAAGACCAATGGACACTTGGCAGACAGATGTCGGAAACATTATTTCAAGATGATCCTGGCACATGTGGAACAGATCCCCTGCTGAGGGACTTCCCTCAGTCAGAGGGCAGAAGGAAACCAGACACAGGGAATCTCTGCAGAGCTGTCACAGGTCCTCTGCGGTTTTAAGAGAAGGGGAAGGACAGTTTTCTTTAAGTTACTTTTACCCTGCCAGCACCTGTAGCACGGGGCGGGGGCTGAAATCCTTTGCATCTTGTCTATGCCCTTCCGTTTTCTAATTCTGAGAAGGCCACGTAAAGATTTACAGGGGCTCTTCAGTTTCTTTTGGAACATTACTGATTGCTAGTCTGTTCCCTAACTTCTTGGTCTATTTAACAGCAAAGTAGAAAAAGGCAGCACAGCCTCTGCTAAAACACAGCAACGATTTTATCTGAACAGGACGGAGCTCTCTCCCTTTTTTGTAAACAGAGTTGGCTATATAATATATATATATATATTTTCATATATAATTTTTTTCTTAATGGAGATTTGGTCCCAGCCTGGCATGAGTAGGCTGGGAATTGGAGTTTTGGTTTCGGGGAGTAATGCTGTTTTCCCAATTCTCAGTCCAAATGCTCACACACTGGAAAATTCCAAATTAAAAGCCACAGAAGGGAARGGGGTTTTGAACACATTATCTCTTTGCTCGTACAAAGTACAAGGCGTTTGTTTTTGGGTAGTACTTCACATTCTGCTTCTTGTCCATGAGTCCTCCGAATATGATGAGTTCGCCCCTGCCTTGTACCACTGTATGCAGGCTGGTTTCAGGAGGCCCGACCACAGAGCTACTATTAAACACTTTCCATTTGACCCGCCCCTTCTCCTTGGTTTCTTTGATGTCCAGCACGTACATCTGCATGGGCTTGCAGTTCATACTCTGGTACAGGGGTTTGCCAACATTGAGGGACTGTGGAGGGTGGTGGCCCAGGCGGCGGGCAATGGGGGGTAAGGAATGTCCATCTCCTTGGGCAGGCCCTGGGCGGGGTATGGGCACTGTTTCTCCACTGCTCAGGCTCTGGCTCCCAGGGGAGCCTGGAGAAGACCCAAGAGGAGGGCTTAGTGCTGCAGAAGCTGAGGGGCCCTTGGATGACATTGCTTTGATGGCTTCCAGACTCCGACGCAGGGCACCAGGGGAGACAGCCCCTGCAAGGGCGCTGGCCACATGTGGAGGGGTATGGACACCATTGGTCTGTTCTGGAAGGTGTCTCACACTCCCTGTAACCGTCCTGTTGTCCATACCATCCACATGATTGCTACCAGAAGCAGGTTTCAGGTCCCAATTCAGATCTATCGACCCCAATCTCAGATCTTTTTGATCTGGTAAAGACCCTCTTCGGGGGGCCAAAGAAAGTCCCATTTTTAAGTCATATCCTTCAGAGGCAGATGGAGTGCTTGGTGATATGGCCTGTACAGGGCTGTCCAAGGAAGAACCACCAACAGCTGCTGTTCCTGGAGATAAACTCCCACCATTGAGGATGGGAGAGCCATCTCCTCTAGCTGGGGAGAGGCTCCCTTCCCGGGAACCTGAGGGAGTCTGCCTCTGAGCCCTGGGCCTCAGCGTTCCCCAGCGGCCGTTAACACATGGCGCTTCATCCATACTCCTTACTGGAGACTGGGAGCGGTACTCTCGGGTTTCGGGGACCAGGGCTGGAGGAGTGGCACTAATAGGTGATGGACGAGAGTTCAAACTGGGGCTGAGGGGGGCTCTCCCACTAGGAGCCTGGCTGAAGACCACCACGCACTGTCCCACCTGGAAGACAAAGGACCTGTGCTCACAGACTCTTCCATAATTCTCATCATTCAACCACCAAACATTTAAACACAGGCATCTGGAACACACCAGGCATTCTGTAGCCTTGAGATATGGAAGGGAAATGATCTAGAGATACAAATGATGCAGACTGCTCTCTAGGAYAGAAGGGCAGATGCAGCAGCAACTGCGGCCCTGGTGTGACACAAGTTATTAGTTATGTCTGTACATTAGTACAGCAGAGTGGAGGGAGCAAATAGTTTTGTTTGTAAGACTTGGGGGAAGATTTCATAGATAAGAAATGCTTTAAGTCAGGACTTAGAGGATGAGTGGGGTCACTTAGCCCACGTATGTTTTCCCATCTAGTGGCTCATATATGCGAGAGATGGCAAAGGAGCTATGATTTTCACTTTTTTTTTTTTTTTGAGACAGGGTCTTGCTAAGTTGCTCATACTGGCCTTGAACTCATGATCCTCCTGCCTCAGGCTTCTGAGTAGCTGGGATTATAGGAGTGTGCCTCTGTGCTTGGCTGACAGCACCTCTTTGTGACACCAGAGTGTTTTCTATTCTGTAAGTTTTCCTTTGAAATTTATCAAATTAATTTGTTTTTCCAGTTTAGAATCTCTCCTTCTGCTGGCCTGTCAGTTCCTGGCTTACCCGGCAGGCTGGATGGCACCACAATTCTGGAGCCCCGTGATCTTCATTTTCTACCTTGAGTGGCTGCCAGGCCCAGGGACCTGAATGCATGTGCAACAACCAAGCATCCTTAAATAGCTGTAAGAAAAGGACCAACAACAGGACTCAGGTGTGGCATCTGCTACACACATACAGAACTGTAGTCTCAAGCTATACTGTCTGGTCTAGAAAGTGTGTGGGCTGGTCAGAAAGAATAACAAAGCCCTCAGTTATTTGTTCAAGTATAYATTCATTCATTCATTTACATTACCATGGATTGGTCTGACACACAGAACTGTGTTTGTGATCTATGAATTAACTAACTGGTTTTGTGTGTGTGGATAGTGGGGTGCAGGAAAGGGTCTGACAATAGATGCCTGCAACTTTATGAATCTGCTTTTAAAGTAAATTCCATGTGGACTCTGGCAGTTACCGACCTGCTTTTTTCTCTCATTGCCCCTTTGCCTTTGAAAACATGATAGCAGCAAACCTTAGAGCTTAAAGAAGGAATAGGAAGAATATAGATATGAATATTCAAGAGACAAATATCTAATTAAAAGCATCTCTCAACACCCAAAAAGAGTGGGAAAAAAGGCCAGAGAAAATGAAGGCTATATATCAAGTGGAAAAGGCACTTTCTAAATAAAAATACCATGGAAAAGTCTTGTCTACTCTTTTTATTTCTTGGTACTGGAAACTCAGTACCAAGGGGTGCTGAGCCACTGAGCCATATATCCCCAGCCCTTTTTATTTTGAGATAGGTTCTTGCAAAGTTGTTAGGGCTTTGCTAAATTACTGAGGCTGGCCTTGAATTTGCTATCCTCCTACCTCAGCCCCCCTTGTTGCTGGGATAGTGGGCTCATGCACTGTGTCTGGCCTGTCTACTCTTACAGAAGATAGGGGAAGCAAGTTTTGAACATTTATTTTGTGTATGGGAATGCCACAAGCAATACTCACAGCATTGGGACCACCACACCCTCCAAGGATTAAGATAGTTGCATCATCTATGACAATCTGGGGAGGGGAAGAAATTTAAAATAAATTTACACACATAGCTATCTGACTTCCCATGCTCTAGTGATATTCAGAAATAGCATCCCCAGCTCCCCAAGAGTGTTCTAGTTACCATAAGCTCCCCATTCTCTCCAAACCAGGTCAAGCCTGATCCCTCTGACCAAATTACTGACAATTCACCTGAATGGATCCATTCTTTGTTGGTCAAATATTAACATGAGAGTCTCAAGCACTTAAAATGAAAGGTTCTCTTTGAGAAATGAAAATGCTTAGGGACAAGGCATAATATAAAGCCACTATAAATAATACAACCCATTAAAAGCCAAAAAATAAACACTAGTAAAAAAGAATGATAAATTCTCTTTGGCTTGGTGCATACTGGCATCTTACCTGACTCCCTCCTCCCTCTCCCGTCCTAACTGAAAGACGCTACAGAGTTTGCGGAATAGTTATTTTAATTCCTGAGCACCTGAGATTGGCCACCTCGAGGATGAGGACTAGGGCCAGAGATGTTCGGCTTGGACCATGCCCACTGCTCGAGGTCAAGGACCCAGACATCATTGCTCCTGTGAGAAAAGGACAGAAGGATGAGGAAGGAAGTTGGGAGCTCCCAGGGTGACAATGGTGGTCAGGGAGCTTCAGGTGCCTGTGCCCAGTGGTGAACTCACACCACTCTCCCACTCACCCAGACTGGCCTAGGGGAGGCTTCAGATGGTCTCCTCAGAGTGCAGAACCAGAAAGACAACTATGAATCCCAGCTGGCAGCCTGAACAAAAGCCTTAATTTTCTTTAACTCTGGTTTCCTTACTATCAAAGAGAAACACTGCTACYCTAAAGAGCAGATATAAATGAAGTTATATTTATAAATAAGTCCTGCAAAGTGCCAAGCTTATAATTAGCACTTAAAACTATGTTCCTTCCCCTGCTGTCCCTAGAACTCATCTTGAGACCTTTAAACATTTGCCTTTTCCACTGACCATAGGCCTCACTTGAATCACATCTCTAGTTAGACATGAATAGCTAATGTACAAGGTAATTAGTGACAGAGGAAACAGCTACTGGTCGAACTGCAATTATTCTAAACAATAACAACGACAAAACAACAAAAAACAGGAAGAGAAAAATGATTCAAGAGGCAGCTCTATCATTGTCTGGGGGTTAAAAGCTTTATTGATTCTGATACAAAAATAGTTTCATAATGGCTAAAGAAAGCATCAGTTTTATCAAGGACACACTGTCATCTCCAACTCTCAAAAGACCAGCACGGCAGGACAGACTCCTGGGTGGCAGTCTCTATTTTATGGCCATCTCTTTATGGTCCTCTGTTCATACACAGGATCCTACACAAGCTCCTCAACTTAWATCTTGAACCCTCTCATTTGGAGGGTAGCTCCTTTAGTCTCTCTCCATGATGGACAGAATATATGAAGATGGCAGGTGCTGTCAGGGGGAAAGAGCTGGGTCTGGCCTGACTTCACTGATGGCAGCCCATCCACTCCAGCTGATAGAACAGAAGAAATGACCAGTACTGCAGCAGCTGCTGAATCAGATACATAGCACTGCAGACGATGGCTCTGGCTCGTGACTCTGGCCTGAAATGGCCAGTGTGGAGAGGACAGTGAGTGGTGGTGTATGTCAAAGAAATGTGACATACCTGACWTAATTCCCTTGCTTCTATCCACTCTTCCAACTCATCCCAATTTCTACTTGTCCTGTCTACCCCTCTTTCTTCTCTAAAAGGGGCCTAAGCTATGTAGTCAAGTAAGGCAAGGAAAAGCACCCTGCTTTCTGAAAGGTGGCCTTCTGTAGGCACAGTATAGCAGAATTGGAGTTCAATCAGAACTGGACCCTACTGTATGCATGTCCAACAGAAAGAGATCTGATTCAACCCTGACTTTATAGGACAAGCTTTCCAACTTACTGGTCTGCGACTGGGGACCACAGAATAAAATGTCAAGGTGAGATGACTATCTGGATTAATTTCAACTATGCTGAGGAACATTGTACCTAGTGTCTAGTTCACTTTTCTGAGCTGTTATTCTCACGATTATTTTACCTTCAAGTTAACATGGAGCAAATCAAATATACTTACATTTGCCGGGATCCTAAAGAGCCACCAAAGACGATCATTTTATCATCTATCACACAGGAGGAGTGGCCGGCCATGGGAGGTGGCCCATGGGTTGTCACAATGCAATTCCACCTAATGCAAACAAAACAAACAGGAGGAAGCCGAGAAGTCAGCACCATCTGCTTCTGTTTTCTGAGATGGGGTCTTGCTAAGATGCCCAGTCCTCAGCCTCCTGTGTAGCTGGGACTCACAGGCACGTGCCACCACGTCCAGCTTCATCTGCTTCTGATTTTATAGACTTAAAGCAAAAAATCAGTTAAGCATGCATCACTAAAAATAATAATCCCATCACCTTCAGCAGATGTTATTAGGTTAATAAAAGGAGGATGACACAACTGTCTTTAAAGTTACATTCACTTTCAAGTTCTGAATGTGGCTGGTCTAGAGATAAAGTACAGAGATGATAAATCAATGGCAAGGGACACAATCGTGACTTCTTGGCCTCTTCAGCCCGATGTGCTGAAAGAATACCACCTGCCAAGAACCACATTCTAAGTTTTCCATTATATGGAAGAGGGGATGCTGTCATTTCAAGAAGATATGTCTAAAAAACAGCTGAGATCCATCTTGGGGACAAAGCAGAGCAGATGGAATCATGTGGCTCTATACCACTTCTGGGGAACTACCAGCCAAGGCTGAAGAGCTCCCTCTTCTTCAACTGGCTCATTCATTTTTTTTAAGAGAGGAGCAAACCCCCTTTACTTTTTCTCTTTGGAAAAAGAGTTCTTGGGCTGGGATACGGCTCAGTGGTAAAGCACTTACCTAAGCATGCATGAGGCCCTGGGTTTGATCCCAATAGCATGAAGAAGAAAGAAGAAAGGAGAAGGAGAAAGGAGAAGAAGAAAGGTTCTTAACTTAAATTCTAGGGGTCCTGAAAATCCTCTGATAGTACAGGCAAAATCTGGRTATACATACATTTCCCCTTTCCCCCTCCTGGGAAATGTCCATGGCTTTTCTTCAATTTCTCCAWKTTTTTTTTTTTTTTGTACCAGGGATTGAACTTGGGCACTCAACCACTGAGCCCCATCCCCAGCCCCATTCTGTATTTTATTTAGAGACAGGGTCTCACTTCTCACTGAGTTATTTAGGGCCTCRCTAAGTTGCTGAGGCTGGCTTTGAACTCATGAGCTTCCTGTCTCAGCCTCCCCAGATGCTGGGATTACAGGTATGCCTGGCCTCCAACGGTTTCTGGACACAAAACAGATAAAGAATCCAATAACTTAAAACATTGCCTTCCAGATTTAGAGCTTATCTTTTGGCTTACCAGTTTTTAGAGGGCGAGTAGGTGTGTATTTCATCAAAGAATCTCTCCGGTTGGTGTAGAGGATAAGGGCTTGGCCGTGTCCAGCCACCAAAGAGCACTAGCAGGTCCTTGTACACGACCAGGGTTGCTCCGGCCTTTGGGGAAGGGTAAGACCCTAGGAGAGTCAATAACACCATGCTTAAAACTCAGGATCATACCACAAGCCCTGGAAAAATGATCAAATGGAAACCACTACTAAAGAATAGGAGAAAGAGAGAGACAAAACTGGTTCGCAGGTCTGAGAAAAACACCACTCATTTACACATTTTTTTAATTAACCGAGAACCCTGAGTTAGAGGGTAGTTACTTAGCTCCTCTCAGGTTCAACTAGCTCACCTGAAATCAGAGATCAAAATACCTATCTCATAAGTCTGTTTTGAATTACTAAATACAGAGGTTCCCTAGTTCAACTTAAAATGGTTTGACTCATAACTTTTTAATTTCCTAGTGGGTGCTAAAGTGACAGTCATTCAGTAGAAAGCCCACTTCCATTTTTTCATCTGTTCCAAGGCTAGCAATATGTGGAATAATGCTTGAGATGCTGGGCAGTGGCAGTGAACCTCAGCTCCCAGTCAGCTACATGAATGTGAGGGCAAACAACTGATCCTCCATAGTATGTTGTGTTGCTATGCTGTGGTGTTTAGTGAGTGAGGTAATTTTTTTTAAAATACCTATTTTTTATTTGTAGTTGGACACAATACCTTTATTTTATTTATTTTTATGTGGTGCTGAGGATCAAACCCAGGGCCTCGCAAGTGCTAGATGAGTACTTTACCACTGAGCCACAACCCCAGCCCCAAGGGTGAGGTAATTAATTAAGTGCATTTTCGACCTATGATACTTTCAACTTACAATGCATTTATTGGGATGTGACTCTRTCATACATTGAGCAGCATCTGTAATATATTCAAAGCACTTAGCATAGTAAGTACATAGCAGGTRCTCAATAAATGTATGGCTCAGTGTAGGGAACTTGCCTAGCATGTATGAGGCCCTGGATTTGATCCCCAGTATCACAAAAAATAAACAAAATAATTTTAAAATGCTGCTACCAAATGGGTAAAAAAAAAGGAGGCAAAATAAAGTTCTTATGTCCTGTAAGTCAAATGTCAATATGGTGACCTTTAGGCCCCTCCTAGCTAGAGTCTCAGACTAGCACAAATGGGCAGACTTCCAAGGCCTGATGTGAAGGGACTCTGATGAAACCACAGGCTTCACACCAAGAATGGCTTCTAAGGCTATCCAGGCTGAACTCTGAGCTACAGAGACCACATTTTGAAAGAACAGAAATTTGGCTTATGTTAGAAAACATTAGGGAAAACAAATGTTTCAGAGGAACACAATTTTTTTTTTAAAGAGAGAGAGAGAGAGAGAATTTTAATATTTATTCTTTAGTTATTGGTGGACACAACATCTTTGTTTGTATGTGGTGCTGAGGATCGAACCCGGGCCGCACGCATGCCAGGCGAGCACGCCACCGCTTGAGCCACATCCCCAGCCCCATAACTTAAACATTCCAGGATAAAATGCAGATTTGGATTTGAGATATTTAAAACCCAGGCTTTGAAAATCAAGTGTACAAGAGTGAAGCAGTAGGGCTGGGGTTGTGGCTCAGTGGCAGAGCGCTTGCCTAGCATGCTGGAGGCACTGGGTTCGAGTCTCAGCACCACATAAAAATAAAATAAAGGTATTGTGTCTTTCTATAACTAAACAAACAAAAGGATGTAGTGCTCTATTTCAAAAGGGKTCCTTAAAAATAAAAAAAGTGAAGCAGCAAAACGGGGGTCCCCCAAACAGCCAAAAAGAAAAAAAAATCCATTTTTAATTTAAGTTAGRTTATTTGCATACAATTTTTTAAAGGATATGTGCTTTTAGTCAGTGATTTCATTTCTAGGGGTTATTCTAATAAGATACGTGGGCAAATGAAAAGAAAAATAGGTACAAGGATGCTCATTTGCAGTGTTTAAATAAATCAAAGAATATCTACACAGGGCTGGGAATACAGCTCAGTTGGTAGAGTGCTTGCCTCGCATGCACAAGGTTCTGGGTTCAATCCCCAGCACCATGAAAAAAAAAATCTACACAGAAGGATACTATATGAGTATTAAAATTTATGTGCCTCTATACCTTTTTATTACCTCAGAATGCTTTATTAAAAGTGAAAACTGAAAGTAGCAAGTGAAAAACATGAAACAATAATAGCTGAGGGGAGGGCACCATGCTCCTAGTGCTGCTCTAAGCGATTCACTTGGTACCTATGAAAACCTGGCCAGGAAGGCACTATGATCACCCACCGTATGGATAAAGAAACTCAGGCACAAAGTGGTTAATTTCCCCAAGGTCACAYATCTAGTTAATCACACAGAATTCAAATCTAAGCAAATTAAGCCCACTTAAAATAATCTATTTTTCCTTTATGTGTTCCTACATAGAAAAGAAAATCTAGAAGATCAGTAATAGTTAATCACCCTGAATGATAAGATTATAGATGATTTTAATTTTCTTCTTTATAAAAAACACTCTGTATTGGCTGACCTTTACAAASAGTGATACGTGCTTCCTGAGCTTGGGGAATAAGCTATTTCACTTTTTTTTTAAAATATTTTTTTAGTTGTAGACACAATAACTTCATTTTATTTATTTATGTGGTGCTGAGGATTGAACCCAGTGCCCACCCATTCGAGGCAAGTGTTCATCCAGCCCTATTTCAGTTTTTAAAAATAATATGGGGGGACTGGGGTTGTGTCTCAGTGATAGAGAGCACACCTAGCACTTTCGAGGCCCTGGGTTCAATCCTTAGCACCACATAAAAATAAATAAAATAAAGGTATTGTGTCCAACTATAACTAACAAACAAACAAACAAACAAATAAATAAGGGGATGGGGCTCAGTGTGGTAGAACACTTACCTACTCATGTACAAAGCCCTGGGTCTGGTCCCCARCATTGCAAAAATGCATGCGTAAGAAATATGGATTTAAAAAAATCCCAAAAATAAAAATCACAAAAACACAAACTATAAGAAGTATGAATTCATTAGGATTCTTTCCTGCTCCACTGCCAAAAGTCGCTCAACTTAGAAAGCCCCTGAGAGGCTACACAGTACAGAGCCTTAATCCCATATGTGAAATGACAGAATCCTCAGAGGTATGTAAACCAATTAAAAAAAAACAAAAACATTTGGTGATGACAAAACCTGACCTGAAATGATGAGGCTATGTATAGTGCTATTTAAGCTGCTTAGTGTGAATATTCATAGGTGTTGACAGAGCTATTAAGTCCAATTACAGGGTGCTGCCCATATTCTACCAAAAATATAAAGGCACACACATGGTATTTCTATCCTAAAACTTGAAAAATTCTGAATTCCAAAACACAATTAACATCAAGGCTTTAGCATAAGGAACTATGCCAAGAACACAGGCTCTCAGATAGCCTACATTGGGTTAGATCCCAGTCCTCTCCTTCAAGCAGCTGTGAAACTCATGCCAGTTACTAGATCTTTCTTTGCCTTGGTTTCCTTTTCTATACAATGGAATAACAAAAGCACTGCTTCAAAAAATGGTTTYGAGGACTGAATGTGTTATGTTGCAATCCACACAGTGTAAGTGCCTGGTGATGGTGTCATTGCGAAGGCAAATTAATACAACARTTACTACCAGGTTACTCAGCCACAGACATCTGACAGTACTGCTAGATACACAGAACAAAGTTTAAGAGAACAGGATTTAACATTAGTAGTAAATGGTTAGATCTCGGCCTCCTGGGATTATAGGTGTGCGCCCCTACACCCAACTTCAATTGTAACTTTTAAGCAACAAGTGAAAACTGCCCCCCCCCCAAAAGATAAGGGCTTCTCCAGAACTTCCTCACAGATCCAGAATTGAAATAATGGTCAACCAGACCACAGTTGGACCAAGATAGCTTAATTATACATACCATTTGTCCCCCTGCTCCTGGTCCCRATTCTTCTGCTATGTAAACCCAAAGCTTCATTCAGTACACTGAAGTCAGGGCTGAGATTCTGGATCTCACTTTGCCTTCCCAACATGACCATATTGATTAAAATTTCCTTTCCTTATTTTCGTTATCACCTTTTCTGTTCGATTTTTGGAGTGAGTGGATAGATGTGGCTCACTGGAACCCCAAGAGTGAGGCTCCTGACCTAGAACTCTAATAATAGCTTAAGCAGAGTGGGGAATAAAAGGAAAACTGAGGACACCCCAAAACTTGTGAGTATAATGTCTGTGTTGACTATAACCACCTTGAAAACCATTCAGAATAGTCTCCAGAGTACACAGCCTGAGGACCACAGAGTTATATCAGGAACAGACATTCGTTTTATTCAATAATAAGATTATTTCCAGTTTAGCATCAATATGGTAAATAATATTACAATAAACCTTTACATCTGTATAGAWGCCCATACAAGATATCAAAACGTAATGCTTTATTAAAGACTTAAGTACGTGTTATTGGGTGCAAAAGAATTAAGTTGTGCACAGGTATAGCCTTCTCAGGAGGCTGCCAGCACACCCCTTCCCATGCTGGCTAAAGTCGGTCCTGGAGGAGGGAGCACCCTGTCATTTATGTTGATCTGAGCACTTAGCACCCTGTGTTGAAATAATCCATTTTGTCTCTCAATAAGATTATACTATCTTAGAGGACAGGGACTGAACAGAATCCAATCATGGAAGCCTGCTGGCTACAGGTCCCTTATTGGCTGGGATCACAGCTGGCTCCAGCTGATCAGAGTACCTTGGAAGTACCAATGAACCTTTCCAAACATTTCTTTGGGTGTCTCCCTCCTAGCACTCCACTGTTTTTATTCTATTTTATTTCTCAGTTTTAACAAACCAGATAAATTACTGATTGACAACAAAAACTCACTGATGATGTTAGACAAAGCTTTTACTGAATCTTGGGCTTCAAGGTATACATTCTATCTATCTATCTATCTATCTATCTATCTATCTATCTATCTATTTAGTTGTTGATAGTCCTTTATTTATTTTACATGGTGTTGAGAATCAAACCCAGTGCCTCACACAYGCCAGGCAAGTGCGCTACCGCTGAGCCCCAGTCCCAGCCCCAGCCCAAGGTATACATTTTTAT